GATTAGCCAATGGGAGGCATAGCAAAGGTACGGTCAATTACCATGTTTGTCTATTATTAGATAGGATGATGTGATCATCATAATAAGTCTAGTAACTATCACTGTACAAAATTATAATATTAGAGGCCTGATGCATGAAATACATGCAGGGGTAGGCCTTCCTTCCCTCGGCTGCTGGCACCAGCTTCCCTCCAGCTACTTGTATCCAGGACTCAGGCTTCCCTCCAACTGCCGGCAGCCGGCCCCACCCCCCACCCACACCTGCCTTGGCCTGGCACTGCCCGCGTCCACTGCCACCCCCTTCCCCATTCCCCATTGGGCAATTGGGGCCTGCCAGCCAGGGGGAGGGGACCAGGAGGTTGGCCAGCAAGCCCTGATCAGGTGATCGGGGTGGTCAGTGCGCGTCATAGCACCCTGTTGTTCCACTGTTCGGTCGATTTGCATATTAGGGTTTTATATATATACTAGAGGCCCGTTTGCAGGAAGATTCCTGCAAGAATAGGGCTTTGCTTGAGTCTCTGCCATTCCTACCCCACCCTTCTCTGCTGCTCCTACCCCGCCCGTCTCTGCCGCTTCTCTCCCGCCCCTCTGTGCCACTTCTCTCCTTCTCTCCCACTCGTCTCTGCCACTTCTCTCCCACCCTTCTCTGCCGCTCCTACCCTGCCCTTCTCTGCCACTTCTCTCTCGCCCATCTCCACTACTTCGGCTCTGTTGCTTGGCTTCCTTCTATGGTGTCTGCAGTCTTCGCTCCCAGCCAGTATATGCAAATTAGCCGCCATCTTTGTTGGTCAATTTGAATCTTTGTCTATTATTAGATAGGATTGTTGACTATATTCCCTGTGTCCTATATTACATCACTGTTACTTAATTTATTTTTTTTAAATATTTTTTTTATTGATTTCAGAGAGAGGAAGGGAGAGGGAGAGATAGAAACATCAATGAGAGAGAATCATTGACCAGCTGCCTCCTGCATACCCCTTACTGGAGATCGAACCCACAACCGCAGTATGTGCTCTTGACCGGAATTGAACCTGGGACCCTTCAGTCTGCAGGCCAATGCTCTATCCCCTGAGCCAAACTGGCTAGGGCACTTATTGATTTTATAACCAGAAGTTTGTACCTCTTATTTCTCTTCACCTTTTTCATATCCCCTTACTTTTCTCCCTTTCACAACCATCAGTTTGTTTTCTGTATCTATAAGTCAGTTTTTGCTTTGTCTTATTTTTGTTTGTTTTAATTCCACATATATGTGAAATAATACAGTATTTGTCTTTTTCTAACTTATTTCACTTAGCTAATACCCTCTAGGTATATCTAAGTTTTCATAAATGGCAAGATTTCATTCTTTTTTAATTGCTGAATAATATTCCATTGTTTGTGTATCTTATTTATCCATTCATTTATTCATGGACACCTAGGCTGTGTCTATATCTTTGCTAGTATAAATAATGCTACAATGAACATAGAAATGTATACATCTTTTTGAATTAGTGTTCTTGTTTGCTTTGGATAAATGACAAGAAGTGGAATTGCTGGGTCATGTGCTGGTTCCATTTTTCATTATTTTTAGGAACCTCCCACCTGTTTCCATAGTGGCTTTACCAATTTACAATCCAACCAACAGTAAATGAATGAGGGTCCTCACTTTTCTTCATCCTTGCCAACACTTATTTGTTGACTTATTGATAATAGCCATTCTGACAGGTATCAGGTAATACCTCATTGTGGTTTTGATTTGCATTTTCCTGCAAATCAAATAATGAATAGTGATGTTGAGCATCTTTTCATATGTCTGTTGGCCACTTGTATGTCTTCTTTGGAAAATGTCTCTTCAGGTCCTCTGCCCATTTTTAATCAGATTGTTTGGTTTGGGGTGTGTGTTCTTCTTTGGTCCTGAATAGAAACAGTTAAAATTAATTTTAATAATGCATTATACAAAACCTAATATATCTAAAATACTATCATTTCAACATGTAATCAATATAAAAATGTTATTAATGAAAATTTTATATTCTTTGTACTGACTTTATAACCCAGTGTGCATTTTACACTTCTAGCATGTCTCAATTTGGATGACTACATGTCAAGGGCTCAATAGCCACTGTGGCTAGTGGCTGTCATATTGGACAGTGCAGCTGTAATTCCTTCACCCAGTGGTTCCCGAACCTGACTGTACATAAGAAGTACACACAGAGATACTTGTTAAAAATATTTCCCAGCAGAAAAGCAGTATGGAGTTACCTGAAAAATTAAATATAGAATGCCTTATAACCCAGCAATTCCATTTCTGGGAATACACCCAAATAAACCTGAAACACTAATTCAAAAGAATATATGTGCCCCTATGTTCACTGCAGCATTATTTACAACTAGAGGCCCAATGCACAAAATTTGTGCAAGAGTAGGCCTTCCTTCCTTCAACTACTGGCACCAGCTTCCCTCTGGCACCCGGAACCCAGGATTCCCTCACAGCCCTGCCTTTGTGTGGAAGGTCGTCTGGAAGGACATCCGGTCTAATTAGTATATTACGCTGTTATTATTATAGATAGCCAAGATATAGAAGCAGCCCAAGTGGCCATCAGTAGTCAAGTGGGTAAAAAAGCTGTGGTACACAACGGAATACTACTCAGCCATAAAAAACAACAACAACAACAAAAAACTTACCTTTTGTGACATCTGGAAAGTATTATGCTAAGTGAACTAAGGAAATAAGTCAGAGAAAGACAAGTACCATATGACCTCATTTATATGCATAATCTAATGAACAAAATAGACTAACAAACAAAATAGAAACAGGCTTATAGATACAGAGAACAGGCTGAAGGCAGTTGGAGGGCTGGATGAAAAAGGTAAAGCAATTAAAGAAATAAACTCATAGAAATAGGGGGAAAATAAAAATTTTTAAAATTAAAAAGAAAATATTTCCCAACAGCTCACTCTGTTTTGGTTCAATACCTCCAGGAGGAGCCCAGAAATCTGTTTTTGACCAAGTATAACAGGTGATGCTGATGCAAGGGTCCATGGACAAGCATATGGGAATTACTGCATTTCCTCAAATTGTGAATATTATGAAGCCTCTTGCACCCTGAGAATATATGAGCAATGTTATGGGAAGCCCAGTGGGGAAGATATTGGAACAACCTTTAAAGCATTTAAGAAATGTATTACTGTTACTGTTTTCTAAAAGTTCACTATGGAAAAATCCCATTCTTAACCAATAATACTATTCCCTCCTGGAGTCCCCAAGTCTAATCCTGAAGATGTTATGTAAGTGAGAAGGAGGTGATGGATCTTGAAGCCTAACTTAGACGTTCTGAGAAACCCCTAGGAAATGAAAGGGAGTTGGGTCTCATTGTGGTGGGAAAAGGAAAGCCTGGAGTCATTGATGGACACTGTTGGAGGCAAGGGGTAGAATAGGAGATACCTCTGATTGTGCCCTTTCTATCCACATTATCCTGGATGGATCACAGCCCACCCCAACTCAAGGTGGGCATAGAAAACAGCGGGACCAGCCCAGCACCTGCCCAAGGAGGAAGAGTAACATCAATAAAGCTCCTAGCTATGAATACAGGTTATTTGGAACAGTTCTTTTATTCTCTTTCTTCCATCCTGGGGTCTAGCTACAGAATGCAGTAGCTCTTGGAAAAGGGATGACAAATGCAGGGGTAACATGTTCTCTTCATGGAAGGGCAGACTGGGACAAGTGGAGCCCAGATTGCAACACCAAAGATTTTCTACCCTAAGGCTCATCCACTTTCCTCTTCACTTCTCCTCTCTCTAAAACAAACAAAAAATCACTTGGGCTTTGATGCTCCCTTTTCAAGTATGAATTATAGCTAAAGTTGCTGATATTCCCAAAGAAGTATGAGATCACAGGGGAAAATATTACAGCATCTAAGGAGTATAATTTCATAAAATAATTGTTAGAACACTGGACAATTTGTACTAGAGAAGCAGAATTAGTGGACAAAAAAATGATACATTTTAAACGAGTAAAAGAAATACCTACAAAGATATAAGAGAGAATATTGTAAAGCTGAAGATATTGGTTATGAAAAAACATATCAACTGAAATGAATTTAGTGGATGGGTTGACTAACAGATTGGCTACCATCAAATAACATATTAGTAAGGTAGAAATTAGGGAAATCTCCCAGAAAATATCTGGAAACAATAAAGAGGTGGGAAAAATAAAATTAAGAGATATGCAGAGAATTCTGCTAACAAAACCTAACAAAACCCATGATTTGGCCCTAACCGGGTTGGCTCAGTGGATAGAGCCACAGCCTGCGGACTGAAAGGTCCCAGATTCCATTCCGGTCAAGGACATGTACCTTGGCTGTGGGCACATACCCAGTAGGGCGTGTGCAGAAGGTAGCTGATGGATGTTTCTCTCTCATCAATGTTTCAACTCTCTATCCCCTTTCCCTTTCTCTCTGTAAAAAATCAATAAAATACATTTTTTTAAAACACCTTGATTTGGGCTATTAAGAAGGATTGATAGAATAAAAGTTATGCCTTCTGTTCTACGGGAAACCTATCTGGATTACCGGTATAAGAGCCACCATATATTTTGTTTCACTGCTAGCTTATTTCCATGCATGATTCCATTTGATCTTCACAGTAACACTAAGAGATTTGTAATACCATCATCTCTAGTGCATAGGTGAAGAACTGAAGCTTGTTGAGGCGTAACATATGCATCCCATTTTTATACGAGATTAGAGTTAAACCTTCATACAGATCAGGGTGGGTCTTCCCATTCCAAGATTAGGGTTCGGCTTCTCTCTGGATCCTAGAGTCCTAGTCAAGCGCAGAGGGTGGGGCGGAGGCGGCCGCTCCAGGGCAAATGTTGGGCAAAGCCCGCCCTGAAGGCGGGACCACGGTGGGGCGTGGCCTCACGCCAATTCTCTCAGGGGATCTGGGCGGGACCTCCGCAGGGCCGTAAAGATCTCTCAGAGTCGTGAAGTGGCGTGGCGCAGAAGCGTTGCTTTACGACGCCTGGAGCAATAAGCCGGGTCGGCGTTCCCGGCCTGTGACTTGCAGTAGCACGTGGGCCTCTGTAGTTCTTCCCGCTTGTAACTCTTACCTGCGGGCGTGGACCAGCCACCTTGACGGATAGAGTGGCAGCGGAGGCCCAGGGTCCTGAGCTGATGGATTTTGCTGCTGAAAATGAAGCCACGTCCAGAGGCGGTCTCCAGCGCGGAGCCGAGGGGGCGCGGCCGCCGCTCGAGCCCGGCGCGGGGGAGGCGGGGAAGGGGCTGACAGGAATGGAGAAAATAGGGGATGGAGAAGAAGCGGATGCGCAGAGGGCAGAGGAAACGCGGGTGTTTCCAACGGCTGTGAAGCTAGAAGATATGAGCTGGTCGGAAATGGAAGAAGGTGTGCTGGGCGGCCGGTGGATAAAGCAGGAGGTGGAGGACGGGCCTGAGGTGAAGGAGGAGAAGCCGGACACCTGGGAGGTGAAGCAGGAGGCGGACGGCGGTGTGGTGGTGAAAGAAGAGAAGGTGGATGGGCTAGAGATAAAGGAAGAGAAAGTGAAGGTGAAGGAAGAGGTGATGGACTGGCCAGAAGTGAAGGAAGAGAGGAAAGATAACTTGGAGATCAAACAGGAAGAGATGGTGTTTGCTCAGAACATAAAGGAAGAGACGATGGATGAGGTGTGTGTGAAAGAAGAAAAGTATTTCCCGAAGGAAGAAATGCTGGATGACACAAAGGTGAAAGAAGAGCCGCAGATAGATTGCCCCGTGGGCTCGAAGCGGAAACTGGCCATGTCAAGGTAGGGCTTCGGGAATCTGGGGGGGCGGAGGGATGAAGCTGTGGGGTCCTCTGATGTCTGGTTGAAAGGAAACTACACAACCAGCAGGTGCAGAAAATTAAGCGCAAGTTGGGTCCCTGGAACCCGGGTGGTGGGAGTGGGGAGCGAGGAATTGGGGCTGGAGGGTCTTGTCAGATAACAAATTCAATGAAAATATGTGAGGTTGGTGGTGCCCCGTGAGCAAGTCAGGAGATGAAAATCCTGGGGACCAGAAAACCCCTGGACCAGGTTCTGGCTAGACTTAATGTGCCCTTGACTCGGTATTGGTTTGAGGGGGGGATAGAGGTGAGGAAAAGGCTAATCAAACTAACTGACAAAGTGGGTTAAGTTAAAATCATACAAAAATGCACTTAAACGCATCCAGTTGTTTCGTGTTCTAAGGATACCATGACTATTCATTATTTTTATTTGTTTTTCCAGTTGTGTGTGGTCATGTGACATAGGAAGTAAAGAGTGATCAGATTCTTGGGACTTTCACTATCTAGAACGCAATCGGTCCTAGAATAGCAGGTGAAGACAGGTAGTAATAGCAGACCTAGGTTATTCTGATGCCTATTCCAGGTTGGGTGTGTAGTTGAGGAAAAAGATTAAACTGCTGTTCTCCGAATTGGACTGAGTCTTACACAGTTTTACTGGGGTGTGAGCCTCTAATATATCCAAACATAACTCATGGATTGAACTTCTGGATGTAGCACACACACCATCGTCAAGAGATTGCCAGGAATTACAAGTTAAAAATGCCATTGAATCATCTCTTTCTCTGATGATAGTAGTAAAAGAAGTCAAAAATGAGATGATTTTTTTAAACAAATCTAATACATATTTTCTTGAGTTACATATCGCTAACAATACTGTAAATGTAGTCATTTGGCGACAGTTTCCTAGAAGAGAATTTTCTAACAATGTTTGACAGCTGTTGAGTATTTTGTCAGAGTTACTTTCATATATTTTATTCACTATGTCTGTAAATTGATTGTGATGAGTAATTGGCTCAGATTAAAATTTTATAAACAAATAAGTAGAATTAATAATTGATAATGTACTCCGTTTCATGTGCGCTTTTGTAGATGTGAAACTTGTGGTACAGAAGAAGCCAAGTACAGATGTCCACGTTGTATGCGGCATTCTTGCAGGAATGTGTTGTATGTGTGTGTGTGTATAGATACAAATATATAAGTTAGTATAAAAAACTCGCTAACTTAATATATTAT